CCTTCTAATAGAATGCGTAATATTCATTCATGCCGTATTTTATTACTTGAGTGTCAAATGGCAATTCGGTTAATAGTGTATTCATTTTAAAAGTCAAGTAAATCATAACTCTTCGTGACCCTATTAATTGTTTTATAGAAGATTGAAGATAAATTTCTAAGTAAAGACAAATTATTATTTCATTTTTAAATTAATTTATTTCATTTGATTCACTTTTTTTATACTGGAATTACGAGTATATAGTGTTTACACAAAATTATTTTTTTATATTATAATTCACCCTCAAGAATTTAAAAGGTATATTAAAGTTTATCGATCATATAATTTTTAATTTTAAAAATGAGCAAATTGAATGTTCGAAGAGTTCTGTCTGAACTTAAGAAAAAATAAATATTCGAAAAAAGTAATGAAGCCATGGTAAGAATACTTTTAAAAGTTTGTATAAGTTTGTTTATATAAAATAGTTGTTTACAAAGTTAAATATGATATATGTATAGTGTGCGTATAAGTTTATAGTGAAATCTATTTTATTCATTGTCACCGATCTCTTTAACTACATAATTTTAATACGTTACTTGAGTTGTTTTAGCGTTTATGTACAACGAACTTTTTTAATCAACCCATCAGTAAGTTTCAATTATAGTTTGAAAATAATACATTTTAATACGGTAATTACATCAATGATAAATTTATAATTACTCAACACGGTATTAAAAGTTTATAATTAATAATATTTAATATTTTTTATTTATTATACACGAGGAATCGATCAGTACGTAAACGGAAAAGTGAATTATAAAAAGAATATCATTTAAATATAAAACATATTGTTTGTTTTCTTTAATAAAGAACATTCGTGTTAAAGGTAGATAATATAGGCGCATTCGATTAAACTATTTTATTCTTTGAATTATTAATGTCATAATAAAATATTATTAGAAATCTGCTGTGACCCTATTCTACTCAACACAAACTACGATCGTACAAAATGAAAGATTGAATAGTAGCAGATAGTATTAACATAACAGAAGTATTCATCGCTATGGACTACACTCGTTTAAAATAAGAATTAAGAATAATATTACGAGTAGCTTTAATAGTATAATGTTGTATTATTATATATTATGATTTAATATCGTCAAATTGATCTTTGTTTTATATACAATTTTACAATCGATCGTGTTAGATCTTATGTGTACTGAAATGTAAATATAGCAATACCATTCTACGAATAGCATAGTATAGCATAGCAAATATTACGAAATCATAAATGTAATAATATATGGCGTACACTTGCATGTATTATATTATCTTGAATTTCTTTCTCCCGGATTATATACATACGTGAATGTTTGAATTATATTTAAACATTTCACAAATTACCGCTGACCAAAATGTATATATGTAATTCTACAGCGGTTAGTTACCGGCGGCAGTCGTAAAGAAATGGGTAGGAGGAAAAGCGATAAAGCAATGCACAGGTGCGTGTAGTTAAGGGTTGTTTTGGATTTTAAATCACCCTCTTACCTCGCCTTATATCGTACTAAGCCAAAACTATACAACATATACTAAATATATTTTAAAATGTATATATATATACTATTTCAATTTATAGGCTTCTAAAAAAGTACATAATACGTAGTTATATGATACAACATATAAGGTACTTATTTTGGTTTAAATATATATGAGAGTTTAACGCGTATTATGATTTATTAATTTGATTTCATGAATCGATAGATTGATTTTAGCTTTCGGGTGTAGCCAAAAAATCATGTAATTATTTAATAACAAATTTAAACTTTTCCAAATGTTTCACACCGAAAAATCACAAACGAACCTATATTTTATTCTAATTATACACTCTATAATGACATCCATATGAAAACAATAAATTAAGAAACTAAAACACTTGCAATAGATTTTATTCCAAACTTTGCACTACTAAAACCCATTCATAAATATTTGTTTATTCCAACCTTTCTGGAAACTCCCGTTATAGATTTAAAAGAACTTGGAGTCATGACCTCTTATAGAGATATTGTAACTATTTAGTAATAAATTTGAATTTAACACTCAACTGCTAAAGTGTCACTAATGGCTCCGTGACTTTTACGATCATTTTAGTCATTTCTCAAATTTACTAATTATTGGGCTTTTTCTTATGATTGTATAACATAAACAAATAAAAAGTAAAGAAAAAATATTCCATAGAAATGTTTACCTTCCCCTCCACATATATAAACACAAATTGTATTCAAATATATTATTAAAATATTCTTCTTTTAGAAATTCTATCTACGTTGAGGGTAATAAAAAAAAAAACAAGCGTGTCTAAACAGAAATGCAAAATATAAGGTTAGTTAAATGCTGCAGATATACCAGGAGCAGCATAAATCGTAAAATATTTATAGTTTTATAATACTGTTTCCCAATTTTTTTTTTTTTTTAACACCCCTTTTGATTTTCAAAAATCTCGCATTATTCTCCTTAACAATTAAAAAAAAAAAAAAAACTAAAAATATTCAGCCATTTAATAAAAATAAAAACAATTAATTTTACATTATAAACAAATTTTACTTATAAATGAGATTTCATTTCTTGAAAATTATAATTTCAAATTTTTTAATATAATATAGTTGTAAAAAAAAAATATATAAAAATATATACCTATTTATATATTATTATGCTGTTTGCGAAAATTCGACAACCATTTAATTGAATGCACGAGACTGAAAACATGAAGAATCCCTTTAATTCTGTCCGATATCAATATCGGAAATTCGAAGAGGATATAACAGACATCATATTAATATGATTTTATATAGAATGATGGAATATATACATACATTTATAGTGTTTATCGAAGGATCCGAAGAGTATATCGTCTGGCTGCTAGCCATAGGTCCCGGTGCGCGTTCGTCAAAGAAACTCCCGCGGGGACAGGGCAGGGTAAAAGTAGTGAACGGTGGACGCCTATATTTATTTATTTAAATTTTAAACGGGCCCAACTTAGATAAGATAGAAACAATCAACAGTAAATATAATAATACTAGTATAATAAAAAAAATAAAATATTATAAACTATAAGATACTTAGATATAAATACATAAACACTTATAGATTATCATTATGCAAATTACCTAGTGTATAAGATTACATAGTTTTTTAATGAATTAAAGTTTTGAGAAATTAATAAATCAGTTGGTTAATTAATTTATGGTCTTCGTCATTATATTGCCCGGAGTATTCATTATATGATTAAAGGTATTTCTACGTTTATATAAGAAGTATATTTTTAAATCTATCCGGGGGGGGGGGGGGAGTCAAAATATGGAAGGAAAAATGACTTAAGTTTTTCGGGATAATCTACATTTCAGATGAAAAGCTTCTATAAAAAATGTACACTTACGTTATAATTATTATATTTACTCACGCAGTGAGTGCACGTAAATCGGATCGTTCTGGATAAAAGTAACGGTCGAACGCTTTTGCCGAACAACTGATGACAGCAGCTGCGCATATTATAAAGGTTTACTGAGTGCGCCATAAAGATTTAGTAGTTTGAAATTTCCTGAGTCATGAGATAAACGAAAAAAATCATATATTTTCATTTTTTTTTTTCGAAATGCTTGAAGATACAGTTAATTATTTTGAAAAAAAATGTTGACGTTTCAACTTTTATTTTCTTTAACCTCATAATTTTTTTTTAACTTACAAAAAAATTTAGTTTTATATCATAATACAGAAATTTGTTCGAAAGTAATAATATAAGAAGTTATTTTTGAATCTTTAACCAAAAACATAAAAATCTAATCAAAATATAAATATTCGTAAGTCGTTATTTCTGTGAGTCATGCAAATTAAACATAAAAAAAAACTTGATCCTTATCTCAGTAGATATCAAAATGGCTACATTATCTTCGTTGAACCGTACGATTATATTTATTGATGATAATAATTAAGGAACATACAAACATTGGAAACCGTAGTATGCATGTGAGTTTATTAATGATACTAATGTACGGCCTATGAAGATTAGTTCAACTATTCCGTGTAATGTAATATATTATACAATCATTTTAAACCGATACGAATCCATGGCGCAGGATACCTTAAACCACCATCCCATCCCTGTCCCTCGGTAGAACGCTCGAGTGCCAATAACAGTGATCGACCGCAGAACGATGTACAATAGCGACGGGCGTACGTAATTAGCGAAAGCGTTTAATTCGGGTACATACCGCGTGTCGCTCAAGGACCGATTTGAAATATTACGCTGCGGCTGTGACATGCGGTGCTGTCGCATGGTGTAACCACGTTAACTGTCCACCGAAGTATTGTTATTGTTATTGCTGCCGTGGTACAGTCAAGTGGCGTATTTAGAGGGTTGTAAAGTGGTGCATCGCGCACCGAGACCCATCAAATATACTGTCGCATAAAGGACCTCGACAAATCAGTAACCGAAATTTGTACTGTTAAACTTGTAAGGTTTTGACCGTTATTAATAATATATGCCGTAAACTTTGTTTCGAAATTGAGTTTTTATTGCGTAACTATAATTTATTTGATAATTATAATAGAGCTCACAGTAGTTTTCTAACCTGTCCCACAATACCTATAGACAAGACCGCCAGCCGCGTAGAGCGGAGTACTCTCCACCACGATTTCAGTTAATACAATATTTCTTTATGTGCATTACACATTTATACCAATTCTATAGAATAAATATCATGTGATAGTATCGTGTAAGTATTCATTGGAAGTACGTTAAATTAGATCGAAAATGTGTGTGTGTGTGTGTTTTTTTTTATACGTCAAACTAATGTAAGTATTCGTTTCTTTTGTACAAGATACGTGGTCTTTAGACTCGCACGTGGCTCCGCTCACCTGGTACATCTGATCTTCTAATCGTTAATTTAATTATTGTTGTTATTATTATAATTATTATTGCGACGATCGCTATTATTGCCGTGTACACACATGTGTCTCTTCATTACCTTGGTATGGTGGACAGGCTAAGTGAAGACCGACTGGACAGCGGTTCGTACCGGCCGGTGGCGTTCAGCCACACGGCCACGTCGCCGTCGTCGTTGAGTGAGTTGCTCGATGACCGGCACTCGTACGGCTGCCACAACAGCGACGAGATCGCCCGTTCATAGTTACTCGTGAACGTCCGACTCCGGGTCAGGCTGGAGATTCCTACCCCGCCGCCAGCTGTACCGCTTGTCCACGTCCGTGGCCTACGCCTCTGCTGCTGCTGCTGCTGCTGCTGCTGCTGCCTGCTTCTGAGACCACTGCCGACCGATGGTGGACAACACGTGCACGACTCATCGTGCGGGTTCACGTCAGTGCCCGTTATCGTGTACACCGCGGCCACGTCCACCGGCCGCTTTCTCGTCTTGTAGTTGATGGCCACATCCCGTCCACAACCACCAACGCCTCCGTCTCGTGGTTCTCCGTTGTCATTCATCATCCGTACCGCGTACAAATGACCATCTTATACGGCCAACACGACCGCGGCCCAGCCACCGCAGTTGTCCCGTGCGTCGACCTGCGCAAACACGATAAACGTACAAGGTTTTTAATCATTATTCAAAAACATTTTGAATACATAATAAACTTAAATCGTTATCGTGCGACAAAAATACCTTTTAAACTTCTTTAGTTTTTTTTTTTTTTTGTGTTATCCGACGAAATAATTAAAATGTCATTATTTAATAAGCACTGCATTTTAAACCCTACAGGGTTTAATCGACGCCACGAAGTGATTCTGACGTTTTTATCGCTGCGGTTAAGTCCCTCGAAATTGATTACGTCTTTAATGCCAACGGCAGTATAATATTACATAATATCATATATGTAACAATATTTATATACCTGAAGCTGAAGCTTATACATACATACATGTATAATAAATGTAATATTCATCTGAGGAGTTGACGTGGGTGGAATCCCTTACAAACTGGTGTGGTCGAACGGGGTGAGGAGGTAGATCGGCAATATACCACTGTTGATTTTTCTCCGTCAATGTACATTGCACAGCGTATAATAATTTGCGTGAAAAATACTGCAGGCTTTATACCGACGTGAATTATGTCGTACGATTCTAACAGATTCAAAATACGCATAAATTCTCTAATAAACAATCGAAGACAAAAAAATACTAAAACAGCTGCGGTTCTCCTCCATTTGTTTCGATCTCATATTATGATGTGTGATACAATCACTGGGAACGTTTTTATTGGTTTAATCATATTCGAGAAACTACATACACTTATAGAAAGTTAAATTTAAAAACGTTACAACACTACATACGTGGAAATGGACGGTATTAATAAAAATTAATAATCTAATCACATGTTCATGATGAACAAAGATTAATTTAACCTAGCCTGTAATGAAATACTCACTTTAATTTTCAATATGAAATTTTAGTTTGACATTTCAAACTACGAGCGAATGTGCGAAAAAAAATCCCCTTTACTTAGTTTCATTATTATTTATTGACAAGCAATTTTACTTGATTAGCCATTGAGTATAAATTGTTAACAAAACCATTTACTTCGAGTAATGATACGTATTCGTTTAAACATAATGATTAATTTAATAACATGTTTAACATTTATTGAGTAATATTTTTTATTATATTATGACGTTGTTATTCATGTTTTTCTCGTTTACTAAAAAAATTAATTATATATATATATATATATATATATATATATATATATTTCTATTTTTAGTTTTTAGGGACGAATGAAAAATTCTTGTGAAAAATAATTATCTATAACCATATACGCCCACATAAAATGGTTACTATAATATACGTTGTTGATGTATTTATTTTGTGATTGCGAATGAGTTTCAGCACGTGTCGCTGGGCTGACATGGAGTACATATGGATACGTGAACACTATCGAATGAGGTGTTCGGTGGGAGAGGGTTATTCTACCCACGCTGGGGACATAGATTGCTCGGGATCACGCATCACTGCAGGCACGATCAAGGGATGGATGTGGTCCTAATCAACATTATACACGATATGCGAAGTAATCAATGCGTCAAATTGCAGTGTTTCCTACACACATGAGTATGAAATATAGTATGTTGTGTTGTATTGTGTTACCCGTGGTGCCGATAGCATAATATAAATATATTTATTTATAAATATACATTGTATGTATATATATATATATATATATATATATATATGTATGTATATATTTATATATTTATTGCAATCAGTTTTATCGCATGGTTAAAACCGTACATAGAATCTCGCTGAAACGATTACGCTTTTCAGGAAACTATTTCGTTAACAATCTCTTCTCTACGTACACATATACCTAAATATTTTAAAATTAATCGAATATTGTACCGCAATCTAGCCATTAGGAGATATCTACCGTCAGCCAATGATTACCTCGTGGTTTCAAGACGTTCCATATTTTAATCGTGCATGTTAATCGAATTTTTTCGATACTAAATATCAATGCGCCCTTTTGGTATTTATCATACCTGACGGTAGTTTCAGAATATTTTAACTGGAAACGCGTATTTGACATGCAATGCATACTTTAATTCAGAACGGGGAGCCTTGTACGCCACTACAATATACGCGTGTTTCGATCGTCCCAATAACACCCATCAGTGGTGTAGTTAGCGCAGAGGCAACAGACGCAGTTGCCTTGGGGTGTCATTATTTTTTGGATAAGTGATAAATTATGACTAAACTAGGTGTTACTATAAGACATTTGTAGCCTATATAAATAATAAGATTGAATAAGAAGTCAGTTTGTTTTTTGGTACTATTGGTCACAACATTGTTTTGGAGACAAAAAGTATAATTTCTACTATAAGGACGAATATTATATCTGTTTGAGCGAGGTCCTGAATCCAAAATTGGTCGGGGTAACCACGTTTCAATTGGTGCCGGATATAAAATATCAAGAACAAAGTAGTGGACTGTATTAAATTATAAAACTTTTATTATAATCAAAACGCGGTAACAACGAACGTATACAAAAACGAACACGACAATAATAATGTAATAGCACAACGGATTAAAATAAACTGTCTCTAACCTGGAGATGACGGTGTGAATTTATAGCCGATCGCCACCGGGTTAGAAGGCAGGTAGAACGATAGGTCAGTTCTAGAATATTCGAGCCAATACCTATGATAGATAAGAAGACCGTGCCTGTCCGTCTCGAATACTCTAGAAAATTTGAGACTATTCTCGTCAATTATCGAACTGTATTTAACAATGTCTTTGGACGCTTTTATATGTAGCTACATTACTGATACGCCCATTTAATATAATAAGCCTTGTAGCAATTATTGTTATTAAGTCCCCGCATTACATCTTCTATGAAATACTACGTGTATCCTTATAAGAGGATTATGCAGTGACATACGACTTATGTAAATAACGCGGACGTCGAAAAGGTGATATAAGCGAATAAAAATAATCTTGTAAGTGGTGATCCGTGACGGACGAACGTCTACCAAAAGTCGCAGCTAGGTCTCCAAGTGATCTAACAATACAACGGTTATTGTTCGACTACGACGAATGAACCCGTTCGCATTAGTATAATATATGACACGATGGGTCGGGCAGATGAACAACGTCGTCGTCATTGTAAATTTAAAAATGGGCCGTCAAGAATACTACGATAACGGATTCAGGTTGGTTTTTATATGATAATAACGGAGAGAATTAATTGAAATTTAAAAACCTAGAGATTTTTAAACCAACCAAAATTGTTATAACTAATAAATAAGAAAAAATTATCTATTTATAAGAAAAATTAAAACAAATAAATATTACCCATTTTATTTGGCTTTATGATAAATCGAAAAAAATGCACAAACATTTTTCAAATATTGCGTGTTACGTATTAACATATAATACACATTTATAATACGTGCAACGAGTAACGTCCAAAATCATGATTGAATCCAGCTCATTACGTACATATGTAGGTATCGTATTTTTATAGCAGTCATAGCGAATTCGATATCTCATGGTTATCTCGTGGGAGATGGTAGAAATCATTATTATTATAGTTATTATTAGACAGCGATTGACAGTAGGGCGGCCCTTAGTGTTTTTATGAAAGTGTAAATTGGCCCGCCAACTACAAAAGATTGGCCCACCCTGTTTTATACATTATATTATGTATCTATAAAATGTGTACAATTAATAATAATAATAATAATAATACGTATGACAATTGACGATATGATCATCGCATAGGATGACACGGCGATCATATATCAATATGCCGCCGTCACTCGCTATACGCTCAACCTTCACGCCACCTTGCATTAATTTTTTTATAAATATATGTGTATCGTAACTCTTTTATACAACGTGGTTCAGCAGTCAACGGCCAGACGGACCTGAGACCGATTTTTTTTTTGTCAATCATATGTAAAGCGATTTACTTCTGGTTGTTAGTGATACCGAAAAAAAACCTTAAAATTATTTTGCGTTGTAGTGTTGGAGACATACGAAAAGTATAAGTTCAATAAAGATTATAGAAAAAAAACAAATGAAGAGGTACTATGAGGATTTTTTAAATAAAAACGAATATTTATGATTGTGATTTTAGGACAAAAAATTGGAAAATGACTGGACACGTCCTGAATAGTTCATAAAAAACAGTTGCTTAATATTCTTAATAGTATAGAAGAAAAGAGAACTGATGCAAGACGTCCTCAGAACTCTTATATACAAAACAAACTAAAAATTGACGTAAAAGTCAAAAGTTTTAAACGGAAACTTAAATAGAAGGAACGCAAACGTCTGAAATTGAAGATTGTATCCGTAGATTGACCGGCACGTTGAAAATAAATGACGGTCGGCGATATCTATTCTGTGCGAGGTGACACAGTAAAAAGGATAATATATACGTACAAATATAAATACATCGATACGTACTACTGTCACTCCCTACGCCGTCGTGCATTATTTTATTATTTACGTGTGTAACTCGATTACTTATATGCATACGTATAAAGTGGTACAGCAGTCAACAGCCGTACCCAAGACAAATTTTTTATATCAATTATAAATCTGTAGCGATTTACTGCTGAACGATAACACCAATGATAGTTCGGCGTGCAGGTTTCCACGGAAACAAGCGAATAGTGGCCGCTATAGAACTTATTTTACTGTTTAATATTCTACGCGACAACGGCGACGGCTCCTAGCTGATAATTTACCAGAAAGGTCTTGGACACATATGTATCGGATTCGATTCGTGAGCATATATTTTTAACTGTGAACGGACGAATTACAACTTGTGCGAATCGCGCGAACGTATAACAAATTTAATGTTTTCACGGATGAATTTTATATTTCTGTTCGTTTTTCCTATATTATTACGATTGACAAAAGGTATGATGTCGTGAATACGACGTTCAATGAAAATATGTTGCTCGTAAAAACACAACGTATAATTTCGTATTGACGATGTACGTCGAGATATTATATTAAATACAATTTTCATTGTGATTAGTCGTAAATACACTGCTGTTTGCATA